GACAAAGTTTAATATTATTAAAGCCCACTGAGCTATATCAGTAGTACAGATGAGAGTAATCCTAAAAACATGTGCAATGATGTTTTCTAAACCAAGATTTGAAGACGAAACAAATTAAATTTAAATAAAAATTAGTTGTATTAAGAAGAATTGATCTTTAATTAAAAGAATTAAAAAATGATTTTTAAGTGTTATGTGTCACTTTTCTACTCGTGGATGTTATATACGTGTTTACTTTAAAAAAAAAAAAAATAAACACGTGTATTTTTTGTTTTATTCAATGTATTATATTTATAAATTTTGAAAAAATATTAAAAATTTCTAATTGAGAAAAAAAAAATTAAAATATTTTAGAAGAGTTGTTAGAGCATGTTGATGCAATATAAACAAATTGGTTAGAACAGGTTCTACCATTGAACCTGCTCTAATGAGCTACACGTGTTAGGGAGAGAGAGGGCATCTAGGCGACGTGGCAAGCATGCGAGAAGGCTGAATTTTGTCCGTCGATGAACTCTGCTCCGGCGGCACTTCAGCAACTATCTCCGTCGAAGCTTGCTTCAACCACCACCGCAAATCCATAAGCGCACATCATGACCACTGCACATAGTTTTATCCTTTCGTTGGCAACCAAAGGCAGATGAATCCAAAAATCCTTAATCGTTAACTTGAAGAAATAGGGAAACTTCGAATCTAAAAGAATACGAACCCTCTGAAGAATCCGGTCTTGACCGAAGACACTTTGGCCATCCTTAACGATGACACTTTTATAGAATGTCTTTAAATAAACAAATATTAAAAACACTATTTCTCTTCCTTTTATTCAATTTTATACCTTTTTCATTTTTTTTTCAATTTTATATTTTCTTTTTCATCTTTTATCCAATTTTTATTAATTTTATATTTGAACACACCAAAAAACACCCATCAAAATTTCTTTCTATAGACACCCTCTCTCCAAAAATATCATCCATCTTCTCTCTTTACTCAAATTTTATTAATTTTATATTTCAATACACCTCACTATTTCAACCAAAAACATTCTCTTTCTTCCTTTTATTTAAATTTTAATAATTTTATATTCAAAGACACCCACAGAGTGTCACCATTACTGATGCCCTTATACTCCTAATAAGCCTTCAAGACGAGTAAAGATTTATGCCCTTAACATGAAATCTGACCATAACGAAAAAAGAAGTTGAAACAAAAGCCAATTGGGATTTATGTTAATAAACGAAAGGCTTAAACGGATCGGTCAAAGTCGAAACTAAGCATCCGAATGTAGTCGGAATCATAATCAGTCGTAGCCGAAGATGCAGATCTGAATCAGATCTGGTAACAAATAAAAATATCATTTTCTAATTCTATCTAAATTAAGTTTATTTTTTACTATTTTATAAATAAAAATATCATTTTTAGATAGATAATTATTTTGACATGTGACAAAATTTAATTGAACTAATTCTTTATGTTTGTATATATCTGATGAGTTGATTACCTGCTAAGATTAATATAACATAGACGAATCAATTTTTGCAAAATAAAATTATTTTATTTTATCAATATTTTGTTATCCGTAAAAAAAAAAAATTAAATCATCTCATATCAATGATAATATCTATATTGTAAATAATTATATTTTATTACTAAAAAGATAGAAATCGTTGGTTTTCTGATAAAAAAAACCGAAACAACTTTTATTGAAATCTAAAATTATTTTGTAAGAATATGGAGAAATTATAAAATTGTTGTGAAATATTATAATCTTTGAAGATTTTGATATGTAAAACTAAATTTATTCAAACTCAAAAGATTTTAGTATATTATAATATTTTATTGAGGAAATGTAATTTAATTATTGTTTTATCTTATTTTTCTTAAATCAAAATATTTAGTTGATAAATGTAAATATGTAAATTTTATTTAAAATAAAATTATTTGACACGTGGCAAAATCTAATTAGAATTTTGTTT